GTTCAAGAAGAGGTTGCACACCTAGACCTATGTTCTACTATGGGTACTTCCCATGCTTCTGGGTTTTAATGGTCGCCCCTGTCTCTCCTTCCCGCCCCCCACCTTTCTGCTACATGTCAGGGTGCTTTTAAGTTTTCTTCAGAGGCACTGGATGCTGGCTACAGCCAAGGCTGCAGACTTTGACTGGGGTATGCCAATGCTCCTGCTGGGAGCAAAGTGGGAGGTTCCTGGCTAGAGGGCATTACCTCCACTCACAGTCAGACACTGCCATATTTGGGGTCAGGAAAGAGTTTTACCCAGTGGTCAGATTAGTATGAACTATGGGTGGTTTTGCCTTCCTTTGTAGCAGGGGGAGGGGGTGTGATCCTCTACCTAGGACAGGTGTGGGTAATTATTTTGACTGGAGAGCTGCTTAATGAGTTTTCAGCAGCTATAAGGGGCCATAAGGGTAGCCCCGCCCTTGACAGGTGCCCTGCCCCCTGGTTGCCATCTTGGGACTGGAAGTCCCATCCCATAACCCCCAACCTTTGCTACCAGAAGTCCCTCCTCTTGCCCCCCAGAAATGCTCCTTTTGGGAGGGGAGGATTGCCATCTTGGAACCAGAAAAAAACCAAGTCATATACTAAAAATCAAACACTCACTAAAGCAGTGGTCTCCGACCTTTTTAGTCAGAGATCACTTTTGGAATTTAAAAGGAACCAGAGATCTACCTTCCCCACCCAAGGCAAGTAAGTTTGTGGGGAGGGGAAAGGGACATGGGGGGGGGGAAGCGGGGCAGATTGAGGCCCCAGCTCTAGCTCCTCTCTCCCTCAGCACTGGGGTGTCAATCTGCACCCCGCCCCAGCTATCCCAAATGGCAGTGAGGGAGGGGCAAGACCTGCACAAACAAGGTGAGGCATGCAGCCTGGGACGGCACGGGGCACCTGGGCAGGGTGGGCTGGGTCGGCATTGGGCTATTCCCAGTCAAGCTGCACTCAGACTGTGCAGCTGCGGTGCTGGGAGTGGAGCCATGGAGGAGGCTGGCTGTACTCCCAGTGCTGCAGCTGCCCAGCCTGAGCACACCCCAGCTGGAAAAAGCCTGGCACTGCTGCGGCCCCAACCCACCCTGCCTTGCCCCGCCCCATGTACAGACCCAGGGAAACACACCCTCCCCCACACCTCCTGGACGAGCCACTTGTGGGTCTGTCCCCTGTCCCACCCCTGTAGGGCCCCACTCCCTACGTCAGAGCTGCTGCAGCTTCTGGCGCTGCCTCATGTTTGGGGGAGGCACTTGCCCCCCCCCCCCAACTT